ATCTCTGTGTTGATCAAGCAGTTGCCATTGGCGTCTGTATCAAGAGAGTTGGTGTGGTTAGTGGTAGTAAGGCTGGTTTCTGTCACAGTGGCTGAGCTGCTACCTTGATCTTTTGTTTTGTTGGAATGTGTTGGCATGGTTTGAAGGCCTACGTCTGCATCAGTAGGATAGAACGGCAGCTGGATGAGCAGGAGAACCAGCCAAAGAGAAGTTTTGGTGCCTTCCATTGGGCTCTGAAATCAAGAGTTAAAATCCAGATTAGAATTTTTTCTCACTTGCAGCCTGCAACTCTAAACAGTTTAAGGGGAATGTAAATGTACAAAATCACTCTTAGCCCTTAAGTACTTACATAATGTGGTTATAGTCTTGGCAAAGGGATGGAGTGAGATACCTGCTGCAGACGGACTGTTGAGATGCTGTGAACTAACTTCCTGACCCCTCTCTGGGTCCTTTTCTGCTCTAGCTGTTTCAGAGCTTCTGCTGTGACACCACAGAGGCTGAAGTGCTCTTACAAGAAATGAGAGAGACAAAGTCATTTCTCTTAAACCAGGATGCCTTTCATCTGTGTCACGTATTATGCGGTGGACAAATTTAGACAGGCTCATGTATAGAACTCACCCCAGCCCAGTAAAGCATCATGTACCGCAGATCTGAATTTAAATTTAACCTTGCTTGTTTGTTTTTTTTATCTCGTTTCTTTAGGTTCAAAACAGGCCAGATCAACGGTGACTTACTCATCTACCATGTCCTCCTCACCCTCAAACCCTACTATGCTAAACCCTACGAGATAGTAGTAGACTTAACACATGTAGGCCCCAGCAATCGCTTCAAGACTGACTTCCTCTCCAAGTGGTTTGTGGTCTTTCCTGGCTTTGCCTATGAGAATGTTGCAGCTGTTTATGTTTACAACTGCAACACTTGGGCGAGGGAGTACACCAAGTACCATGAGCGGCTACTGACAGGCCTGAAGGGCAGCAAGCGACTCCAGTTCATTGATTCTCCGGCTAAGCTGGGTGAGCACATTGAACCTGACCAACAGAAACTGCCTGCAGCTACACTGTCCCTGGAGGAAGACCTTAAAGTGTTCCACAATGCCCTCAAACTGGCCCACAAAGACACCAAGGTCTCTATAAAGGTGAGGATGCAGCTATAGAATGTGAATAGTTAGACTGGATTAGATTAGCAAAGCTTAGTAAAATCATTAGAGAAGGTCCAGCAAGCCTTGGTTTTGCTTAAGTATCCTGTTTTCTTGCTCATCAGGTGGGCTCGACGGCAGTTCAGGTAACCTCAGCTGAGCGGACCCGTGTCCTCGGCCAGTCCGTCATCCTCAATGATGTCTACTATGCCTCAGAGATTGAAGAGATTTGCCTGGTGGATGAGAGCCAGTTTACCCTCACCATGGCCAACCAGGGCACACCACTCACATTCATGCACCAGGAGTGTGATGCCATCGTCCAGTCCATCATCCACATCCGGACACGTTGGGAGCTGTCGCAGCCCGACTCCATTCCACAGCACACCAAGATTCGACCAAAAGATGTTCCTGGCACTCTGCTCAACATCGCTCTGCTCAACCTGGGCAGTTCCGACCCCAGCCTCAGGTCAGTTCTGCACGGCATATTAATCTATTTTAGCCAGTAGTATCACCAGCTTTAATGAAACTACAAAAGAAAAGAGGGTCTCCCTCATGTGATTGAAGTGCTATGGATTTCTCTTTTTTTTTCAGACAAGTTGGAATTTCTGCTATGAACTCTTCCCACCAAAGGAAATGACAGTCCAAACTAAAAAGAAAAATGCACATTGTTGTCTAAAGTGCAGAAACCATCTGCTCTCTTTCCAGAGAAATGTTGTGTTCCGTGTCTTTTGTTTTGTAGGTGCCATCAATTCAGATCCCTGCTGTTTTGGGCTCCGAATGTAATGTGTTTTTAGCAATGTAAACTGTTTGACTAGGAGTGTGTGGGCACCTGAATATCACAGCTGCATTGATCATGTAATAAAAAAAATCAGCATTAAAATTCTTCTATTCAGTTAGAAAAGCATGTTGAGTGACAAGGTTTGGCTCACAGTCTGTATGACCTCAATCCCTAAGTTGCTGGATGGGACTGAGGTCAGGGCTGTGTCCAGGCCAGTCAACTTCCTCCACAGTGAACTGAGAAAACCAGTCCTTTATGGTGCTGCTCTGAGCCCAGGACCGCTGTCATGTTGAAACAGGAAAGGGGCAACCACACACTGTCGTTGTGTGCTGCAACAATAAGATTTGACTTCAAGAACAGATTCAAGTGAAAGTCTATTTGTACATTTAGCCATAGACTGTCTTTGGTTAAAGTTCAAGGTTTTAAACTCCTTGAACCTAAATTTGACTCTTTCATTTAAAAGAAGTGATTGTTTCCAGCCAAATCTGTTAGGAGAAAAAGACAACTGAGCTGTCATAAAGGGCTAAGGGAGTATGGTGAAAGCATAATGGGCACTGCTGTCACATCAGCGGCACAGGTTCAGTTATTAGCAGGGGTGTGGCTGAGGAGGTATAGCGGTCGTCTCCTAACCGCGGTGGTTCGATTTCCATTCTCCTCCGTCCGCATGTCGAAGTGCCCTTGGGCAAGACACTGAACCCCCCTAGTTGCTCCCAATGGCCAGAGCAGCGCCTTACAGGGCCAGTGCCGCCATCAGTGTGTGAGTTGGTGCCACATATGGCTGCCTCAGTTCTGTATCTGAGGCAAATTCCTTATGTGTGTAACATAACCTGGCCAGTAAAAAGTGAATATCATTATCATAGGCTTAATACCTCTCATTTGTTGTCTGTCCCACATCCAGGTCTGCAGCTTACAACCTGTTGTGTGCTTTGACCTGCACCTTCAACCTAAAGATAGAGGGCCAGCTGCTGGAGACATCAGGCCTCTGCATCCCAGCTAACAACACCCTCTTCATAGTCTCCATCAGCAAGACCCTGGCTGCCAATGAACCCCATCTGACACTTGAGTTTCTGGAAGAATGCATCTCAGGCTTCAGCAAGTCCAGTGAGTCCACTGAGTATAGCTGCTTGTAAAACATGCTCTCTCACGTACACTGTTGTACGGCCACGTGACCTCCCTGACCTGCCTACTCTAATTGAATAGACACATTGCGCACATAAGGGTTTCTGAACTTCTGATGCCCACTGAAAAATATTTGTACTTGCACATAACTGCCTTTTTTCAAGGTTCATGCAATACTTTGCTATTAAGGTTGTATATTTGACATGGTTATGAGATTAGCTGGAGTGGAAACTGCACTGTCACCCCTTTTTAGGTTGGCGCTAAAGATACCAATATACTTGTTTTAAATACGTGTTTAACTGTGTGTGTGTGTGTGTGTGTGCGCACGCGCGCGCTTCATAGCTACCTCATGTATCCTGCATTCCTTGTGAGTGTTGATTGAGCACTGGGGAGGTAGGGGATGGTGTGATAGCACTATGATGTCATCAGATTTATTCTCTCTGACTTGACAACGCTCCTCCATAGCTTCAAAAAGTGGTTTTTGCAGGTGTAGTTACACTAATCATGATAAGTCAGCATGATCTTGACTCTGTGTGTTATAAAGTAAAGCAGGAGTTGTGTTAATAAGTCCCACTGTCGGTCTGTTGCAGGTATTGAGCTGAAGCATCTCTGCCTGGAGTACATGACACCCTGGCTGCTCAACCTGGTTCGCTTCTGTAAGCACAATGATGACACCAAGCGCCAGCGTGTTACCGCTATTTTGGACAAGCTCATCACCATGACAATTAATGAAAAGCAGATGTATCCCTCTATCCAGGCCAAGATCTGGGGCAGCCTGGGACAGGTGGGAGTATCAGACCAAGAGTGTGATGATCCAGAATGTCTGTTGGACTTGACTTCTAACCTTCTCACTGTGTGTTCAGATAACAGACCTGTTGGATGTGGTGTTGGACAGCTTCATTAAGACCAGTGCCACAGGAGGCCTGGGCTCCATCAAAGCAGAGGTCATGGCTGATACCGCAGTGGCTCTGGCTTCAGGGAATGTAAAACTGGTCTCCAGCAAGGTGAGCTAGTTCATGCTGAAATCCTTTCTGCACTGTTACCTGCTCCCAGCACATATGTTATCCTGGACAGAATCTGTTTACTGGAGTCGTGTAGATGTAGTAGTGTCTTTCATGCTGTCAGTAACCAGCACTTTGTCTGAGGAGACTGTTTTCACCCAGTCTTGTAGAGTTATGTATCACAGCCGGTTTTGAAAGTACCACTGCATATACAGTAAATGCTTGTTCTTCTTCTTCCACACTGCACCTGTGCTGAATGTAGGATCCTGATGTGTTAAGGTAATCTGCTTGTAGTACAAACAGAGGGCAGCCCTCTTTGCTGCTTGTTAAGTCAGCTTCATTAAGTAGCTGTAGCTCTGTTTGACCAACTGATTCTTCTCACATTCATCCTCATTAGGGTGTGAGTCATTCGCTTCTCATTCGCGCTTGTAGCTGGAAGCACACAACATCAAAACTGTGTCAGAATAACTGCTCCTCTTGCCTTGTATCAACTCTCCAGAAAAGTAATATTTTAGCACTATCTAGTAAGTGATCAGCACCTTTTTCAGCCTCTAATGAGTGTCTGTCTGGTGTGTGCTCCAGGCTGCACAATGTGATCAGTGTGTGTTGGCTCTATAAGGGATTTCACTGCCAGCCATTTTCAAGTGCAGCAGAGAGAGAGATATTTGAGGAAGGAAATTACTAAGTGGTAGTAGGGACCACATGATATCCTGGTTTATATGAAAATACAGAAACGCAGTTGGACTGCTGTGTCATTGTCATGTTCTTTTGACTTTTTCCAAGTTAAACAGATTCTCTTGCTTTTGTTTGCCCCATTTACACATTCATGTAGTGCAAATCTTCAGATACCATTGCAGAGGTTTAGTTTCACATTTCCTCAACCTCTTCATTGCATTTGGGTTTGCATGGGTGCAAATACCACCACTCTATTACCCAGGCCACTATTCATTGACAAGGCTTTTTGGGAAATGTGCTTGGTACTTGCTGAAATGTTACTAAATTCATTTTGAATAATACTTTTCCATATTGGTAAAATAACTGTTATTATTAATTATAGCTCATTGATTAAAATGAATGAATAGAACTTTTAAAAGTGTTAGTTTGTGCACCAAGTTAACACTGATGTGAGCTCAGCATTGAACGTAAAAAAAAAAAAAGACGACTTACTTATTAATGGAAAAATTCAATCCACAGCTGTAAATCTCTCGACTTAGAATATCCACAGAGACAAACTCATCCACTCACTGTCCATCATCTGTGTGCTCTGAATCCAAACTCAGCCTGCTACTCAGACAAACAAACACAACATACACGAGCAGACACAAAAGAAAAGCCAAGCCCTGGCTCCTATTATGGCAGACACCAGCACCGCACTGAATGGTGGCCATTGTGAAGACTGTTGACTAAGAAAAGTCAGGCAGTGTTTTAGCTGAAGTGCTGCTCCCCTCAGTGATTTCATGTAATTTTACCACTGTGTTGCACTTAATTTAAGAAGGCCAAATTGGTACATGCTACATGTATACATGAATGTTTGTGCTTATGTTTTCTACAGGGCTGCTCTCTGATGTCATGTCATGGCAGGACAGCACAATGGAGCCTTGTCTGCTGCTCTTGAACTCTTTGTCAACCAAGAGTTGAATAAATGCTATTTTCTAAATGGTTTTAACTCTAGCAGTACGGGTCACTGTACATGCCTAAAGAGACATGCACAGTGTTTATCCAGTATTCTCACTATGGACTGGCGTGATAGGGCCATATTTGTCAGGAAGTGCTACATGTTCTTATAGTGTTTGGCAAAATAGATTGATCAAAACATGAGTTTCACCTCAACTTCTACTTGATGACTTTATTTGACAGGAGCTGTACAGTGTTTGGAGTTTGAGATGTTTCTTACTGCTTGTGTGAACCTACAGTAAGTGGCCAGCTTAAAACTGAACATACTGTAAACTGAAGCTAGCCATTATTTTTACATCAACAATGAATCAAATAATTATGTGTAATGTGAAATGGATGGCTGGTAGAGAAGTATCACCTTGCTTCTGCTTAGCATCAGCTTCATAAGTTGGTAATGTCAGTGCTGTGTTTACAGATTGCTCCACTGTAGACACAAATGTTTGAATACAGCTGACTGAAAGAGTAGTGAGTTGGTTTTGCACAGAGGTAGTAGTGTTTCATGGTGAGATCTTATCTCTTTGAGAGATTGATGATGGATATGGTGGATCAGTGTGGCCATATTGGCTGTCACCTACATGTTTTACAGTAATACTATATGGAATTTGTCATGATGGCTGCTCAAGTAGTGTTTATTTGTATGAACAAAGGTTGTTGAATAACGAGTTTTATTTTGCCGTCACCATTCTGACAGCCATACGAGAAGTTTGGCTTTTGTTTGTGCTGTTTTAATATCGGTCTTCACTTATTCTTTGTGGCAGGTTATTGGTCGAATGTGCAAGATCATAGACAAGACGTGCCTGTCACCAACGCCCACACTTGAGCAGCATCTGATGTGGGACGACATCGCCATCCTGGCTCGCTACATGCTCATGCTGTCCTTCAACAACTCTCTGGATGTTGCAGCCCACCTGCCATACCTGTTCCATGTGGTTACCCTGCTGGTAGCCACCGGGCCACTGTCCCTCAGGGCGTCCACCCACGGTTTGGTTATCAACATTATCCACTCCCTCTGCACCTGCTCGCAGCTCAACTTCAGTGGTAAGGACTGTTGCCATAGTACGAGTCAGTGTTTTGTTACTTTCAGTAATCTCACAGTGTATGGAAGGAACAAAGCTCAGTGTATCCAAGCTAGAGATTCCATAGCAGTGGGGAGCATGCACACAGCATGGTGGATGCATGCATAAAAAAATAACAGCAAGTGTGCTGTCATAATAAATGTGTTGTTCTGTCGAATGCTTCCAGAGGAGACGAAGCAGGTCCTGAGGCTGAGCCTGACTGAGTTCTCCCTGCCCAAGTTCTACCTGCTTTTCGGCATCAGCAAAGTGAAGTCCGCTGCTGTCATCGCCTTCCGTTCCAGCTACAGAGACCGCTCCTTCTCGCCTGGCTCCTACGAGAGGGAGACATTTGCCCTGTCCTCTCTGGAGACCGTCACTGAGGCCTTACTGGAAATCATGGAGGTCAGCAGAGAAAGTCAAGTTTTTCACTCTGTTCCTCCAGTTCATTGATTTCTTATGGGAAAACCATGTAGATTTCAGTGAGTGCTAGGAGATATGGCAGAAAATGTTAGTACAATATTAAAATACCTCTTCTTTGTATTTGCTGTTGTATACCTAATTGATGGTGGAACAAAACAATGGAAGAAGTAGAAAGGAGAAGAAACAAGACAAAGGCAGCAAGCAGTTCTTAATTTTGATTATCAGTTGAAAACTCGTTGCCACAGTTTCAGTAGTTCATTAACAAACTTTGTTTGTGTGGTAGGATACCAGCCAAACATGCTTTCTATTCTTGACCTGTTCAGGTTTGCAGGTCCAGTGTTTCCCATACACTGACAACTCATTTGTGGTCCACTTGTCTAATCTGTCAAAGTGAAAAAGATTGACAACTTGCATACAAGCTCACACCGGTCTTTGGGGAAGTACGAGGGCTTCCAAACCTCTGTTTTTTCTTTCAGACTGTTGAATCTGTGTTGTCTTTCCTCAGGCTTGTATGAGGGACATCCCAGCTTGCAAGTGGTTAGACCAATGGACAGAGCTCGCACAGAAGTATGAACTTCCTCCATTCCATCCCATCCCATTTTGATGCATCTTTCCTAAGAGCAGTGTCAATTATATGCACTTGTGTGTGTTTGGAATTCAGGTTTGCATTCCAGTACAACCCGTCGCTCCAGCCCAGAGCACTGGTGGTGTTTGGCTGCATCAGTAAGAGAGTTAGTCACGGCCAGATTAAGCAGATCATCCGAATCCTCAGCAAGGCCAGCCCTCTGCTCAGCATCGACCGGGTGAGAGCACACCTTCAGCTGTCAGACCTGTGCTCTTGACCAGCCCATTCAAACTCAACAGAAGACACCCATTACAACGCACGTCCACTAACGCTGGGCTATTGTCCGGTTAGGCTACTTCACCTGATGTAATGCTCCTGTTCCTTCTCTCTCTTCTGTCTTCATCCCACCATCAACAGGGTTTGGAGAGCTGTTTGAAGGGTCCAGACAATTACAACAGCCAAGTATTAATAGAGGCCACAGTCATTGCTCTGACCAAGCTGCAGCCTCTACTCAGCAAGGTATACAATCATTACTGTATTTAGGTCATTGATAATACCAGCACAGCCCTCCCCTGCTGTTTCCTGCCAGTCACACTGTGTTACCCTGTATGTGTTTACAGGAGTCCCCCATGCACAAAGCTCTGTTCTGGGTGGCAGTAGCAGTGCTGCAGCTGGATGAAGTCAACCTGTACTCTGCTGGAACTGCATTGCTGGAGCAAAACCTCCACACTCTAGACACAATGCGCATCTTCAATGACAAGGTAAAATACACAGGAATACACACTGTACACCTCAGAAAGCAGATCTGCTCACGTCACCCACACTTTGAAGTTGTGTCAACCACCTACGCTTCTCATTATTATATATTAAATTGGCTTGGACAGCTCACTGAGAGGCGTTCGAAAACATACATACTTGACTGTTTTTGAGGAAGAACTTCACATTAATTCCCCACAGACAGTTTCATTCTGACTTTATCACTTTATTCTGGTCTTATTCTACTATAGCTATTTCCAGAAAAAGTAATGCTTCTTGGTAGAGCAAAACAGTTTGATTGAAATGCTGTGATGTTGCTGTGATGTCTGGCACTCCACACCTCCCAGTACAAAGATTTGTACTTGGGTGGATTACTACCACTAATAGTGGCATTGCATACATTTGGATGTATTCTTCAAATATGCCAGTCAGGCATGATCAAGCGAAAACAGGGTGTTAAATTACTTTTTGATCCAATATGAATGTATGAACTCTGTTCTTCAGTGAAATTGATTATGAAATGATCTTCACTAAAGTCACAAATATCAACAAACATGGCATGTCTACGCTGAGAAAACAAGCAGTCATGATCTTTCATGTCTTTATTGAAAAAATTAAGCTGAAATCTCATCTACAAAAGTATTCAGATTTTTGGCACTCGGTTGTTGTCAGGTGCATCCTGACCTGTGTGAGATAAAGTGTCACCGTCTGTACTGTAAGTGTGGCTTAACAGCAAGGTATCAGCAAGGAAACATTGTCTCAAGAAGTAGCACCCTGAACACAGGGCATTTTCTTTTAAAAGCAATGTTAAAACATGACACCTACTACTACTTACAATGTTGACATGACCCAGAACCACCATCAACATCCGCCTTCTCTCCTCCTTATTTTCTCCTTCAGAGTCCAGAAGAAGTGTTCATGGAGATCAGGCGTCCTTTAGAGTGGCACTGTAAGCAGATGGATCACTTTGTGGGCCTCAACTTTAGTGCCAACTTCAACTTTGCACTGGTGGGCCACTTGCTCAAAGGTAAAGCAGCTGCTGATAGAGATAAAGTATTCACAGGCGCTCAGCAGTTACAATATGGTGTTTGGATTGGGTTGGGCCATTGGACATACACGTTCATTTCCATCACACATGTAGATACCGTAATTTCCGGACTATAAGCCGCACCCACCCCGGTGTCCACGTTGTAACATGAGATATTTCGACAGCCAGATCGATTGCCTGTAACTTGAAAGCTGCATCATATGCATTTCGCCATGTGATGTCCATGATGAGGGTGTGGGCATGAAGCGACAAAAGTAAGCGGCTTATAGTCCAGAAAGTACGGTAAGCCATAATGTTGGTGTGATTTAGGAACTGTGGTGCTGACAAACCTTGGTTGAGTTTAACTGCAGGGTTTGCTGAAGGGAGTTGGTCTTCTTCAGACAGAGGGACAGTGAGCAAGGCTGTCTGTAATATTACTCCTGTGTCTGGGTGGAGCATCTCCTCCCTTAGCTCCATAGTTTTGGGGTCTAAATATTTTAATGTGCCAAACACATTTAAATCAGAGTCTCGTTGCTAATTGCCTGTCTTTACTGTGTCTCTAACTTGTGTCTCTAGGCTACAGACATCCATCGCCCACCACAGTAGCAAGGACAGTGAGAATCCTGCATACACTGTTGACTCTCATCAGCAAACATCTGAAATGTGACAAGTTTGAGGTCAACACCCAGAGTGTGGCCTATCTGGCTGGTATGTAACACACTGACTTTGCTATTCTACAGTACATACATTCTTATTTATACAGTTTACATGCCTCCTGTGCACTAAAATCATGCTCCTATTTAATATCGTGATCATATTCTGTTACTGAAGAATTATGATAAAGAAATGTTGAACATAATTAAAGACCTCTATGTTGGTTTGCAAAGATTTAACCATGTTACTGTTTTGTAGATTAACTTAGGAAGTAACACATTTCAGAAAAATGAAATATTACATGTAAGAAAGTGATCATTATCTACGCTGTCAGAAAACAGCATCCAGTCACCACCTGTAGTTGCGAGCCTTTACTTAAGAAATACAGAACCGATGTTCTTCGTTTTGGTGGTGTGGTTGGTTTGGGTCATCCCTAACTCCTTGTTGTTTGGTGCAGCACTGCTCACTGTCTCTGAAGAGGTTCGAAGTCGCTGCAGCCTCAAACACAGGAAGTCACTACTGATTTCTGACCTGTCTATGGATCCGGTGCCCATGGACACCTACTCCAGTCACATCACTGATCCCAGCTGCAGGTGAGCCAGTGAACAGAGGGGAGAACTAAGCACGCCATTGTCTAATTATTCATCAACACAAGAGGCTGACTAGTTGAAACTCGGCTTGATGTGCTCCTGAGCTTTAAGATTCAGACTTGTTTGCTGTTTTTCCTTTTTTGGATCAAAGATTGTTCTCTGAATACATAGCATGATCAGAGTGCACAGTGCATCACACACACACACACACACACACACACACACACACACACACACACACACAGACCCTGCTTATTGGCAGTCGTGGAGAAAATAAACTTTCAAAGTGTGATTGCAAGTCTTTTGCATGTAAGGGTGGAAACACGGGCAGCCCACCAAAACAGCCAGTAAAAGTCCATCACATACAGGTGGAGAAATGCAGTTTGATGATGTGGGAGCTGAGGGCAAAATACCCTACAGTAA